CCAGCGTCCCTTGAGTTGCAATTTGAAAGATAGAAAGACAAGCACTTGCTGGGAACCGGGCCCAGCATCCCCTGTACCTCTTCACACAATGGTGACACTCCTTCGAACTGCGTTTGTACTACCTTTTGAAATGAACCCCGATGTGAGAACACAGTCAAACCCACTCAAGAAGTACTGCATCCTATAGCATTAGTTGTCCTATTGACATATCATCTCCGATTCCAAACCAAGAAGTGGGAACTAGCACACTTGGGGGGAGTGGGAACAGGTCAGGAAATTCTGAGAGGGGTCTCAAGGGAATTGAGGAGTCAATCGAACACCAATCCTCAAACACAACCCTGTAATTTCTGCTGATGTCTCCATCTTCAACCTCTGTAGCTCCTTTCCATACTACCTTCCCCATTCTTCCCCCCTGTTTCCCACCAAGCCAGGCCAAGTTGTATTTGCTGGGAGATTTCCTTTTTATTGGATAAAAATTGGACTTTTTCTTTCGTGAGTTCCCATTGGTGTAGGATGCCTGTCTGAACTTGTTCTTTGATGGTTTCGGTGAACTCAGGGCCGTCCATCCTGGCTCCTTCCCACTCATAGATGCTTCTTCTCCTCCAAATGGCCCATAAGATTGCCCTCCTACTGAGGATAAACAGATTGTGGGTAACATTCCATGCTTCCAGTAGAAGGGGCTTCCAGCCCCATGGCCACTGAGTCGTTGTTTCCAAGTTGTTCCAGATTCTGTCTCACCATCTCCAGAGCCAAATTGATCCCGGGCATTATTGAGCTGCTACATCAAACAAGCAGTACATTTCCCAGCTTTTTTTTTTTGTTTTAAGTTGTGGCTGCTTGCATGGCGGCGCAACTTCTGGGGCGTTGCCTCGCAAGCAAAATGGCTGGCAGCGCCAGCCAAAAGGAGGCCCGCGTCCTTCCGGACTCCTTCCGGAGCATGGTCCCATTAGCAGTCGGATAGTAGTGTGGCCGATCCAGTGTGACACTGAGTGGCAGCGGCCTGACAGGTTCATTACGAATTTCTGGGGTGAGAAAACAGGAGAAAGGCAAAAAAAAAGAAAAAAAAGAAACAGAGACCTCCCACCTGAGATCACGGCAGAGTGCTTCCCAGCCATCAGATCACAAATGATCTGATGGTGGTGGTTGCAACAACAGTGCAGAAAGTAACTGCCACATTTTCTGGAATAAAGTTCAATAAACTCAACTTCTGTCAGCAATGATCCTGACCCCCTCCATATACTCCGTGATTGAAGGAGGGCTCCACCCAATGAGATAATTGCAGAACAGCAAGCAAAAAAAAAACTGAAAATCTTCTATCCAGTGGGCCTATGGCCGACCCCACCCTCTTTTGGGGTTGGCCACACCCCAACGGATTGAAAAGATTCTGGCGGGAAGCTTTCTTTGCACCGGCATGCCCAGTGTTAAGGAGAGGAGGAGGGGAACAAAGATCTCCTTAATATCAGCTAGACTGTGGGTGGCAGACTAGGGCTGTGGGGGTGAGTAGAGGGCGTGAGTCACTGGATGCTTTGGACTAACGAACGATGAGGATAGGCGTTTGGAGGATAAGTACCCTGCCTTAAAATCTACTAGAACTGTATTGGGCGAGTAGAGGGCGTGAGTTACCAGTTGGTCAACTTAGGGGCTAGTAGGAGATTGCTTGGGCCTGGCGTCCGAAGTTCCCGTGCGACGAGGTTCGTTCGATTCCGCTTCCACCAGGGCTGGGTCATGGCTAGCCCTGGTGCCTGTCACTGCTGTTCGGTCCAAGTTCCCCTCGATAGGGGCAATGTTCCTGAGTGCTGGTCACACTGAGGTAGGAAGAGATAGGGGGTGCGCTAGGAGTATTGATGTGAGGATGGGATGGGAAGGCAGCCTCGTTCCCTCAGGACGACCATGGCTGACTGCTCCTGGCGATCAATGTGTGCCTAGTAACCGGCC